TTTTAATCTTCTATAGAGATATAAAATTTTTTTTATAAATATAACTATCTTAATATAATTTTTAAGATTATAAGGATCGAAATGATAAAGATAACTAATATGACCGATATACATTAAGATTTTTAAAATTAAAATTCTCAAATTCAACCAAGAATAAATGGTAGAAATATTAGATAACTTAATATAATTTAAACTCTTTTTTTTAGATGAGTTAATAGACGATGCACTAAGTCGCTAATAAAAAAAGGTAACATATATATTTTTTAATAAAAGATTTTTGAGATTTTAGAAGCTACCATAAGACAGCATCTATAAAAGAAATTGTGTGGGGGATAAAGGATATGTAGTGGAACCTACTCTTATTTGCGGGGGAAAAAACAAGATCCAATAAGTGCAGATAACATCACTTGCTACAAGATTAATTACTCAAGGCATCACCAACAAAGTGTTAAACAAATCATCCTTGAAAGATCTCTCGAAATAAGTCTATAAGTTCTTCATCAAGTGTTCAGGATTCATCTCAGTTACTTCCATGATCACCACCATGTTGTCCATTTTTTTTTGTTCCGGAGAGCATGAGTTAGTGTTCTACGTTGAAGGCATCACCCAAGTTAAAGTTTATGTTGGTTCTCGTGGCCCTTCTTCCAACGCCTACATTGCCTTTTCTCATCATGGCCGTGAATTCATTGTAATCTATTTGCCCATCCTGCAAATATAAAAAAACCTCGAGGTCATCCGTGTATACCAGTACAAAGAAAATTCAATTGTGGTTATGAAAAATCAAGATAGAAGTTACTAAAAAAATACGAGGAAACTGAATTATTGGACCGAAGATTTATGAGGGAAGAAAAAGGAAAGAACTTCAGAAATAAGAAGAAAGAAGACCCACATTGTCTTGATCGGCTTCTTTGATCATCTCATCAAGGTGAACTTCATCAAGACCAAATTCTCTGCAAGCTTGTGAAAGTTCATCAATAGTTATGTAACCGCTTCCGTCTTTATCGAAAAATGAGAATGCGGACATCAAGTTCTCTTCCCTCTCCAACTTATTCATGTGTACTGTTGCTGCAAGAAATTCACCATAGTCGATTGTGCCACTTCTGTCAATATCAGCCTGCAGCCAGTTCAAACAATCCAAATCAGAGTTTCAAGTATCAAAATTTAATTTAATGTAATTAACTAGAAGAGATGAATTTAAGCATTTAACAATGCAAAAAGTTCAAGCCGAGGGCACTAATATAGTCAATCTTGCGTACTGCATCCATTAGCGCATGAATCTCAGATTCCATCAGTTCAGACCCCACCCTTCTCAAGCCTTCTTTCAGTTCATCAAATGTTATGGTTCCACTGTTGTCTGTATCAATCATCTTGAACAACTCTTTCAGACCACCAATCTCTTCCTCGGACAGGCTTTCAGCAATAACCTGTAGAAGAAAGAAAATGCATGCCATTGAGAAACATACATTTTCCAAGAAACAGATTTTCAACCATTTCAGAACAGATTCATTATGCTCTTAAAGAATTATTTTTGACGATTTGGAAATGATACTTCACAAAGCAAGATCTAAGCAGAAATGCATCTTTATCCGCAAAATTGTATATGTTATGACATATGTGACAGGTAGAGTATGATAAACAATAGAACAATATAAAGATGAAGGGCATTATGCAGTCCAACTACACTTGGTGCATGTGTCTGCTGGATTCTCACTGATCTCCTTTATACTTGCAGGGTTTCTAGTATTGCACCCAAAACAGCAGAAAATTTTCTTCTGTAATAATAAATACATTCCAGTCATATGATATCCACCAACAACAATTTGGTCAAAGTGAGGTAAATAAATGCATTTATTCCAGAAACATATATGGAAAGAGAAGAAAATACCAAGCTTGTAGCTGACAATACCTAACATGGCAAAAAAAGAAATTTAAATTTCCCACAATTGATACTGGAGATGAAGCAATTAAATGTATGCAGTCCAGAAAATATAAAGATGTGAGTTTGTAGCATTAAAAATTCCAAACAGGATGAGATGAGACATTTTGATTTCCTAAGATTGAAACTGTAATGCCAAATTAGTTAATTTCAAGCCAGTTATCGACATAATTCTGTAATCTAAACATCTGAGAAGGTAGTATGCAGTATATGGCATACAAGTAAACCACTATGTTCTGAAAGCTTATTAGCATATTTTTTTGCTTTGAAAAGTCAGAGACAGTATGAAACATATAGAATGCTCTTTTTTACAGCAGCAATATTAGCAATATATATCCTTCTCCAGCACCTCAGACTTAGTCTTATCTTGGATAAGAAAGAAAGTAACAAATAAAAGAGAAAGAAGCAAAGACCTAAACAAGCTTCTGCCAGTGCATGGTGTTAATATTGCAAGCTTCTCAAAAGACATGAGATAAGTAAATAGTTAGAGGGCAATGAAGATTGCAAATTGCATTCCTGCATCTTCTATTGTCTTGCAGGAATCAAACACAAAAGTCTATCTACAGGTATGTTGACATGGTTTGTAATTTATACATGTTATAAAACCAATAAACTACATGCAAGGGATTGACATAAGTTTGCCACTCAGATTTTTAGTAACAATACATTCTATTTTGGTTTGCAGACAGCACACCTCAACCATAACTTTTCCACATTGCTGCCAAGTCATCAACTTGTAAAGGACAAACCTCAGATTACCATTCTCAAAGCACTAGCAGTTTTGCTTATTAGGCAACTTGACAACATGATATCTCGAAAATCCATTACAAAATGAAAATTCTAGGAAAGGATTTCTTATGCATGTTTACTAGGAACCCTCTGACCCCTGTGGAACCATGATTTGGATTCTTCATCCCGTACATGATACTTCAGCATGTCACTGTGGTGTATGATCCAAGATGCCAAATTTGAAAATTCAAATCATAAATGTCATTCAATTTAATTGATATAAACCAACTAAAGAATCCATAGTTGTTCCAACTATAGAATCCGACAAGAAAAACAGAAAACAACAGAATCACTAAATAGTTAAGAAAAAATAATAAATTAATAGCTTTAAAGTCTTCTACTGCCATCATTTGATGACCTAACTGAATACATGGTTGATTACTTATAGCAAGTGTCCTAGGTAAATTATTCAATGGGTACATCAACTCGAAATAACTAACCAATTAAAGCTACCCTCACACCAATAACACAACCTAGAATGTTTCACATTCCAAGTAACATAATATATATAGATTGTGTGACAAGTCCAACAAAACCTTCATAGCTCAGGAAGTTAACACATAAAAGACTTGAAAAGCTATGGCATCAAACAAAATTAAGGATTTATCATCTAGATAACTAGTATGATAGAGATTTGAGAACAGGGAACTTTATTGAAGTATGATCAAATACCATGACAAATACCTCTTATCAGCTACAGAATATCACAAATGAAAATTACCCGTAAAGCCATCTTCTTGAGCTTGTTCATGGCAGAGAACTGCTTAAGACGTGATAGCACTGCAGAATCCAAGGGTCTATCAGGCGCAACATTGTCATCAGTGATCCATGGGTGACCTGGCAGAAGAAACTTCATATTAACTAAGAATCTGATTTGCATTTGGAGAATTTGACTCCTAAAGCAAATTATTTGCTCAAAATACTTACAAAGAACTTGATGTGCTGTAAATCTCTTCTTCGGATCTCTATTAAGCATATTACGTATAAGATCCTTAGCACTATCAGAAATGCCAGGCCATGGTTCAGACTCAAAATCTAGACGACCTTGTAGAATGTGTCTGAAGATCCCTGCTTCAGATTCTGAGAGTGACAAGAAAAAAATACTGATAAAAAAATTGCAACAAACTTTTGGGAAAATAAAATTAGACTAAATGATCCAGTATTAGCTTGTAAAAGCCGAAATTACAGATCAATAATGAATTACCTGCCCAGAAAGGAGGCACTCCACTTAACAAAATATATAAAATGACTCCGGCACTCCACACATCTGCTTCTGGTCCGTATAATTTACGCAATACCTCAGGTGCAACATAATATGGACTTCCAACCACGTCAGAAAATGTATCACCTATATAGTTCAAAAGAAACCAGCTTAAGGTGTACCCCTCATTTGACTCTATGCTATTTAGGTTTATATGAAAAGCGTGAGACATCAACTTTCTTAGCACAAACTTGCATGAGAAAAGCTAAATAATTTATGCTTAATTAGATAAGGACATCTTTTGAGTATTAACAAAACAAGATAGTTTATTTAAACTGTAAAGGGTCAGGGATAAAAGTGAGCTC